AGCCACGGATTTCTCATATATCTCTGGCAAAAATTATGAAACAAAAATTAATAAAGAAAACATTGAGACCAGTGGATGAAAAATGCAGCCCAAACGCCTCCTGAAGGGGCCCCGCCCAAATGCACCATCAACAAGATTACCTGCTGGTTGGTATTATTATTTATTATTATTATACAGGATTTATATATTATTATTATAATACAGGATTTATATTATTATTATTATAATACAGGATTTATATTATTATTATTATAATTCAGGATTTATATTATTATTATTATTATACAGGATTTATATTATTATTATTATTATACAGGATTTATATTATTATTATTATACAGGATTTATATTATTATTATTATTATTATACAGGATTTATATTATTATTATTATTATTATTATAATACAGGATTTATATTATTATTATTATAATACAGGATTTATATTATTATTATTATACAGGATTTATATTATTATTATTATTATACAGGATTTATATTATTATTATTATACAGGATTTATATTATTATTATTATTATTATTATACAGGATTTATATTATTATTATTATTATACAGGATTTATATATTATTATAATACAGGATTTATATTATTATTATTATACAGGATTTATATTATTATTATACAGGATTTATATTATTATTATTATACAGGATTTATATATTATTATTATTATACAGGATTTATATTATTATTATTATACAGGATTTATATTATTATTATTATACAGGATTTATATATTATTGTTATTATACAGGATTTATATTATTATTATTATACAGGATTTATATATTATTATTATAATACAGGATTTATATTATTATTATTATTATACAGGATTTATATTATTATTATTATTATACAGGATTTATATTATTATTATTATACAGGATTTTTATTATTATACAGGATTTATATTATTATTATTATTATTATTATTTATTATACAGGATTTATATTATTACTATAATACAGGATTTATATTTATTATTATTATTATACAGGATTTATATATTATTATTATACAGGATTTATATTATTATTATACAGGATTTATATATTATTATTATACAGGATTTATATTATTATTATACAGGATTTATATAGCGCCAACAGTTTGCTCAGCGCTTTACAATATAACGGGAGACAATGCAGCAACAATACAGTTTAATACAAGAGGGATAGAAGGGCCCTGATCCTTGGAGCTTACAATCTAAGAGGGAGGGGCTGGTGGTACAAAAGGTAGTAACTGTGGGGGATGGACTGGTAGGAGGAATAGAAGATTCCATTATTAGCTGAGGGCAGGATAGGCTTCCCTGAAGAGATCGGTTTTCAGAGATCGCCTAAAAGTGAGCAGAGTAGGCGATAGTCTAATAAATTGGGGTAGAGAGTTTCAAAGGATGGGGGAAGCTCTGGAGAAGTCCTGGAGATGAGCATGGGAGGAGGAGATGAGGGAGCTAGAGAGCAGTTGTTACTGATAGGGCAGTGCTACTATGAGCACGAAGCGATGACTACAAGGAATTTGTGTGAGAAAGTGTTGATGACCAGGTCTATCCAAAGAAGCATGCTTGATGGCTGTGAGCTATAGCCCGGCTAGGATTGTTCTTGATAGAAGAGTCAGATGCAGGGACGGAGTGACCATTCGAGCACTCGGGCACTGCCCGAGGGCCCGGGGTCAGTAGGGGGCCCCATGAGATGCCCCTGGTACCTTTCATTGGCTTTTTTGGGTGTGGGTGAGAACACAGGGGCCCCATGATCCCTTATTGCCCGGGGGCCCCATGAGTTGTCACTCCGCCCCTGGTCAGATGCCTTTTACAAGCCTTTCTTAGCCATAGTCAGTTTGGCAAACCTTGACAAGACAGTATGAGAGGATGTTGCTATACAGAGAGGCATTGTGTGGTGGCAGCTTTGGTCACATGAGCACTTTCCCTGCTGCAAATAAATGTCGGTGTAAACTTAGAGCCAGACAGACTAGGATTTATTTTTGTGCTTTATTGCTGTGAACAAGCTGCTTATGTTATTTAATGCTGGAAGTACTGATTATGTCGTTCTGATGCTGGAAGACCCATAAAGTTGGTTGTGGCCAGATTGAAACCTGAACTGAAACCTGGACTGCAGTGTGGGCCCCCGCTTCTTGCACAAAAACCCCACTTAAAGCAAAACTAAACTCTCTCAATCAACATTAGACATGTGCAGATTTTTTTCGTTTCAAATTGAAATTCGGACCAATGTTTCGTTGTTCGGAGATTCAGATGCGAATCCGAAATAACAAAATGGAAATTCCGTCTGAAATAACGAATTATCTGAATTCGAAACGAATTTGAAAATGAATGGGCAGCACAGTGGCTAAATGGTTAGCACTTCCGCCTGGCAGTACTAGGGTCGTTGGTTCGAATCCCAACCACGGCACCTCCTGCCTGGAGTTTGCATGTTCTCCCTGTGCCTGCGTGGGTTTCCTCCGGGTACTCCGATTTCCTCCCACACTCCAAAGACATGCTGGGAGGTTAATAGTCTCCTGTCTAAATTGTCCCTAGTATGTGTATGTATGAATGTGAGTTAGGGACCTTAGATTGTACGCCCCTTGAGGGTTAGGGACTTTAGATTGTATGCTCCTCGGGGGCGGGGACTGATGTGAATGTACAATATATATGTAAAGTGCTGCATACATTGATGGCGCTATATAAGTACCTAAAATAAATAAAATAGAATTCGAAAACATATGGCTGACTATTGCTGATTTCCTTCAAAGACCGCATGTATTAGAATAGCCATCTTCAGAAATTCCAATTTTGAAAAGAACAGACTTGAATAAAACAGAATAGAATAGAAAATAAAGTAATAGAATTAAAAAGAAAATAGAAATTGAATCCTAACTGTATTATTGCTGTATTGTCTCCCGTTATATTGTAAAGCGCTGAGCAAACTGTTGGCGCTATACAAATCCTGTATAATAATAATATATAATGAATAAAAATGAATAGAATAAAATAAAAAATAAAATAATAGAAAATGAATCCTAACCCTCTTGTATTGAACTGTATTGTTGCTGTATTGTCTCCCGTTATATTGTAAAGCGCTGAGCAAACTGTTGGCGCGATATAAATCCTGTATAATAATAATAATATATAAATCCTGTATAATAATAATATATAAATCCTGTATAATAATAATAATATATAAATCCTGTATAATAATAATAATAATATATAAATCCTGTATAATAATAATATATAAAATCCTGTATAATAATAATAATATAAATCCTGTATAATAATAATAATAATATATAAATCCTGTATAATAATAATAATATATAAAAATCCTGTATAATAATAATATATAAATCCTGTATAATAATAATAATAATAATGAATAAAAATGAATAGAATAAAAAATAAAAGAATAGAAAAAAAATAGAATAGGTAAGAATAGAATAAAAAGAACATAGCCATCTTCTGAAATTCAAATTAAAAAAAAAAGAATAGAAAAGAATAGGCTAAAAAAGAATAGAAATGAAAAAATAGAACAGAAAAGAATAGAAAATAAAGGAACAGAATAGTCAAGAATAGTATAGAAAATAAAAGAATAGAATAATACAGAAAAGAATAACATAGAGAATAAAAAACTATAATAGAATAGAAAAGAATAGAAAATATATAGCCGTCTTTGGATCGATTCTATAATTTTGATTCAAATTAAATTCCAATACTTCAAATCCATTGGAAAACTTTAAATTTGGTTGAAAACTAATAAACAAAACAAAACAAATTCTGTTACGACTGCACCTAAACGAAGTAAGTAATTTAACAAATCGATCCGAAACTAAACACATTTTTTCATTCTGCACATGTCTAATCAGCATGAAAAGTCCTCATGCTGCTAGTATTCATACATAGACAGGAAGGTGTATTATATTTACTTTAAAACTTTCTTTTTTTACATTTCTTCATTTGCTTTCTGGTTTTTGGCTTAGGCCAAAATGATGTCATACTTCCCAAGAGTCCTCATAGGAGGGGGGAGTTTCTCAGCTAAGCACACCCCCTACCTGCATGCATGAGCAAAGGGCAGATGGATTTAGGAACTATATGCTACATGAATCATCTGCCCTTACTCAAGATGGCCACAGCTGGAAATGCCAGGGGGGTGTTATGCAAAGTGATCTCTCAATAAAAAATAAAGAATGGAGACATGGATGGATGGGGGAGTTTGCATTGAATATTAACCACTTGACAACCGGGCTTTAGCCGAATGACGGCTACAGCGCGGTTGTCTGGTTCTGGGAGGGCGTCATATGACCTCCTCCCAGAATGCGCCTGCCGCGTGCCTCCTACGGCGCACACCCGGTGCTGTCTGTGATCGCTGTGTCCTACAGACACAGCTGATCACATGACAAGGTAAAGGGCCAATCACAGAGGCCTTTTACCAAGTGATCAGCTGTGTCCAATGACACAGCTGATCACAAAGTAAATACAGTTGCCGGTTATTGGCTGCACTTTCCTCACGCTGTCACAGTGTGAGGAAAGTACTACTGGCAACCGACAAGTGTCACAGAGGACATCTGCACTGATAATCAGTGCCCTGGTTATCAGTGCCATCCATCAGTGCTGCCCATCAGTGCCGTCCGTCAGTGCCCATCAGTACTGCCTATCAATGCCTATCAGTGCTGCACACATCAGTGCCCATCATTGTCGCCTATCAGTGCTGCATATTAGTGCAGCATCATCAGTACGTCCTCATCAATTCCCACCAGTGCTGCCTCAGAAGTGCAGCCTATCAGTGCCCATCAGTACCGCCTATCAGTGCACATCATTGTCGCCTATCAGTGCCCATCAGTACCACATATCAGTGCCCATCATTAGTGCCTATCAGTGCTGCATATCAGTGCCCATCATTGTCGCCTATCAGTGCTGCATATTAGTGCAGCATCATCAGTACGTCCTCATCAATTCCCACCAGTGCTGCCTCAGAAGTGCAGCCTATCAGTGCCCATCAGTACCGCCTATCAGTGCCCATCATTGTCGCCTATCAGTGCCCATCAGTGCTGCATATCAGTGCCCATCATTGTCGCCTATCAGTGCTGCACATTAGTGCAGCATCATCAGTACGTCCTCATCAATTCCCACCAAAGCTGCCTCAGAAGTGCAGCCCATCAGTGCTGTCTATCAGTGCTGCCTATCAGTGCCCATTGGTGCTGCCTATCAGTGCAGCGTCATCAACGCACATCAGTGAAGGAGAAAATTTACCTGTTTGCAAAATTTTATTAAAAAAACCTTATTTTATTTAAATTTTTTTGCTATTTTTTTTTGTTTATGGTGCAAAAAATAAAACACCCAGTAGCGATTAAATACCTCCAAAGAAAAGCTCTATTTGTGTGAAAAAAAAAAGATAAAATTGTAAGATGAGAACAGTGTTGCATGACCGCGCAATTGTCATTCAAAGTGCGACAGCGCTGAAAGCTGGCCTGGGCAGGAAGGGGGGAGAGTGCCCGGTAGGGAAGGGGTTATAAATGAATCAAATGGCGTTTCCAGTTTGTGGCGCTCAGATGCCGCGTAGTTCCTCTTTAATGCCGTCATTGCCGATGACAAGTGTATCAGTCATTTATAATTCTGGAGGTGGAAGTGACTTCAGAGTTCTATGATCCTCTAATGACAACATTTATGAGGTCATTGTCTAATTATTAGTCATACGGTAAATCACTAGAAGTATAGACGTCTGATCTGGAATTTGTAAAGCGTCTCCAACTATAGGTGACGATCAGAGGCATCCCTAGGGTTGGTGTCACCCGGTGCCGGAACACTTGGCGACACCCCCTCCGGCGATCCCCGCAGGATGGATCAGATCTGAGGATTGCGCATAATGGATCGGACTCCGATCCATTATCCTCCCCAATCCGCAGATCCGATCCATCCTGCGGGGATCGTCGGCTTGCAACCTGTACATGTTTAACTGATTTCTCCACGAGCTCCACGAAAAGGTAAGTTTCAAAGCAAGCCGACCATCCCCGCAGGATGGATCGGATCTGCGGATTGGGGAGGATAATGGATCGGATCCATTATGCTCAATCTGCAGATCCGATCCATCCTGTGGGGATCGTTGGCATGCAACCCATACGGGGTGACACTGGACCCGCTCCACGAAAAGGTAAGATGTAAAGAAAGCCGATGATCCCCGTAGGATGGATCGGATCTGCGGATTGGGGAGCGTAATGGTTCAGACTCTGATCCATTATGCTCAATCCGCAGATCCAATCCATCCTGCGGGGATCATCGGCTTTCTTTACAACTTACCTTTTCGTCGAGCTCGTGGAGAAATCAGTTAACCCCGTGTAGGTTGCAAGCCGACGATCCCCGCAGGATGGATCGGATCTGCGGATTGGGGAGGATAATGGAGCGGGTCCGGTGTCACCCCATGCAAAAGGTGTCACCCGGTGCGGCGCGCACCCCCCGCACCCGCCTAGGGACGCCCCTGGTGACGATTACTCATCAAAGTGTATCTCTATCCAATTTGTTTCTTTTTTTGAATGCATTTGTTTTAGGACAGAATGTGGAAGGGTTAGAGCCTCTGTCAGGTTTTTATTTCTGTCGGCGCCCCCCCTTCCCCCTTGTGCTGGGGAGAGTCACCCTCTCTGTCTCGGTGATGACTGTCACCAAGAAAGTAATGGAGGATCCAAAATATTACAGCGGCCATCAGTACAGAGAGAAGGGGGACATCCAGTGACAACCAAGAGCAGAATGTTCCCCACTCTGGAGAGATTTCCACTCACTTCCTGTTGTTTCTCTGGGGCAGGAAGTGAGAGGAAATTTCCCAAATGGGACGGCAAAAGAGGAAGAAAAAAAATGTGAAAAACTTTTTTACTCCTCTTTCAATATCTACAGACTAGCAGCAGGTAAGAATGTGTAAAGACATTTGCTGAAAGATTTGCCACGGCTACCGCGCAGCTGATGGATTCAATCCCCCGAGGCTGCTTTCACACGGATTGGCTGTTCTTAAAAAAAGCGGAAGAAAAACGCGTGGCCATGTATTCCTATGGAACTCTTCACACTCATCCATTGTGGGTCCGGTGCGTTCTTCAAAGTCCTGCTTGCCGCATTTGTGGTGCAGTAAAGAAAACGAACCAAAAACACACCTCCCTATTGACATCAAGAGAAAACGCAGCCAAAACGCATAAAAAATGCACCTCCCCACTGAAATAAATGGAAACTGCAGCCAAAACCCATCAAAAATGCACCTCCCTGTTGAAATCAATACAAATCTTTTGCACAGCACTGCATTTAATGCCAAAACGCATCAAAAAAGCACTTCCCCATTTAAATAAATAGAAAATGCAGTCAAAACGTATAAAAAAAAAAATGCACCTCCCCGTTGCAATCAATAGAAAATGCGGCCAAAACCCATCAAAAACGCACCTCCCCATTGAAATCAATGAAAAATGCGGCCAAAAAACATAAAAAATTTATCTCCCTTTGAAAGCAATAAGAAATACAGCCAAAACACATAGAAAATGCACCTCCCCATTGAAATAAATGGAAACAGCGGCCAAAACGCATAAAACATGCACCTCCCCATTGAAATCAATAGAAAATGCAGCCAAAAATTTGTTTTTCACAGCCCTGCACTTGATGCCAAAAAGTATCAAAAAAGCACCTCCCCATTGAAATAAATGGAAAACGCAGCCAAAAAGCATAAAAAAAAAAAAACTGCACCTCCCCTTTGAAAGCAATAAACAATGTGGCTAAAATGCATCAAAAACGCACCTCCCCATTGAAATCGATGGAAAATTAGGCCATAACGCATCAAAAACGTACCTCCCTGTTGAAAGTAATGAAAAAATGCGGCCAAAATGCATCAAAAATGCACCTCCCCATTGAAATCAATGGAAAATGCACCCAAAACACATCAAAAACATATCTCCCTTTGAAAGCAATAAGAAATACAGCCAAAATGCACAAACAATGCACCTCCCCATTGAAATAAATGGAAACCATGGCCTAAACGCATAAAACATGCACCTCCCCATTGAAATCAATAGAAAATGTGGCCAAAATGCATAAAAAATGCAACTCCTTGTTGAAATCAATACAATTTTTTTCACAGCCCTGCACTTGATGCCAAAACACATAAAAAAATGCACCTCCCCACTGAAATCAATAGAAAATGCAGTCAACACGCATCAAAAATGCACCTCCCTATTTAAATCAATGGAAATTGCTGCCAAAACGCATCAAAAACGCTCCTACCCATTGAAATTAATGGAAAATGCTGCCAAAACACTTAAAAAACACACCTCCCCATTGAAGTCAATAGAAAATGTGGCCAATACGCATCAAAAACGCACCTCCCCATTGAAATCAATGGAAACGCAGCAAAAAGACATAAAAAATGCACCAAAAACACACCTGCATTGCTTTTTTTATGGTGCCATTCTTGAGTCACACGTCCTTTAAAAAAAAAAAAACGCACCGCAAATCCTGTAAAAATGTGGCGAAAACACACATGCGTTTTTGCCGCAGATCAGTGTGCACGGCAATCGCAGCACAAGGTGCTTCACGTGTCATCTTTCAATGGCGGCCCACACCTCATGCGTTTCTGCTGCGATTATCATGCGGCAATCACAGCAAACTGCGTCGTTGCAAATCGCGTGAAGCTTGTCACCAGAAAAGGAGCTTCTTTCTGGGCGACAAACGCAAGTGAATGGGCTGTCCTATGCGAATCATATAAAAATTGCATGTCCAGGGGCGGACAACTCATGGGGCCCCCGGGCAATAGGGGATCATGGGGCCCCTGTGTCCTTGCCCAAACTCAAAAAAGCCTATGAAAAAGGTACCAGGGGCATCTCATGGGGCCCCCTACTGACCCCGGGCCCTCGGGCAGTGCCTGAGTTTCCAAATGGTCAGTCTGCCCCTGGACATGTCAAAATCCAACATCAGCCAAAAAAAATGATCCTCCACTCCCCCAGCAAGGTGGCGCTCCCCCACAATCCAGCCGTGGACTGTCCCCGGGTATCATCATCCAATGCAGGGCTGTGGCCCCTGCTCTGGTTTTGAGGACATCAGGACCTTGGACTGGTGGAGCATGGGGCGGGGGTGCAGATGCTGTGGGGAGGAGCGGAGGATTGGGTAAGTACACCTCCTGTCATTGTTCTCCTAGACCAGGGGTAGGCAAACTGCGGCTCTCTAGCTGTTGTGGAACTACGTTTCCCATGAGGCATTGCAAAGATTACAAAACTGACAGTTACAGCTATGACTTGCAGAGGCATGATGGGACTTGTAGTCCTGGGGCTCTCAGGTTGCCTACCCCTGCCCTGGACATAAAGGAGCAAGTGATCATCCCAGTGCAGGCTCCGCCCCACTACAAGGGATCATTTTTTATTTGCCCGGAGTTGGGCTTTAAAGCTCCATGAAGAAAAAGAATGCAGCTCTGTGATCATCATACACCATTAAATGTATTTTGTTCGATGCAGTCCCGGCAAGCAGGGGCGTCCCTAGGGTTGGTGTCACCCGGTGAGAGAACACTTTGTGACACCCCTCTGATGATCCCCGCAGGATGGATCGGATCTGTGGATTGAGCATATTGGTTCGGACTCTGATCCATTATTCTCCCCAATCCGCAGATCTGATCCATCCTGCGGGGATCGTCGGCATGCAACCTATACGGGGTGACACCGGACCCGCTACACGAAAAGGTAAGTTGTAAAGAAAGCCGACGATCCCCACAGGATGGATCGGATCTGCAGATTGGGGAGCATAATGGATGGGACTCCGATCCATTATGCTCAATCCGCAGATCCGATCCATCCTGCGGGGATCGTCGGCTTTCTTTACAACTTACCTTTTCGTGGGGCGGGTCCGGTGTCACCCCGTGCATTATGTGTCACCCGGTGAGGCGCGCATCCCCCGTACCTTCCTCGGGACGCCACTGCATGCAAGTACCTGAATCAGCCTCTTGACCTCCTTGTACAGCAGACCTCAGACTGGGAGAGGGAGAAGCAGCACAAGGAACCAATCTGCTCCTATGCTGACAAGAAGCATGCTGATAGGAGGAGAAAGCAAAGTGAGAGAG